AATTAAAAAATGCAACAGAAGTTATTTCAATCAAATTTAATTTCCGCGAAATTACATAATGGTCATCGATGTAGCAATGACATTTCGCATCGCGTCGAACCAATAATGGCTTTATTTCATTTGACAAACGTGCAGCAGCGAGATAAAACACGCGCGAGCCCGTGGGGGCCACCCACTGGCATCCATAAATTACGCCGGCAATTCGTAACAATTACGTCTTTCGTCCGTAATTCTATTATTTATGCCCAGGAAGGGCTATCGCGGGTCGACGGAGGGACGCGAGATATCGATCTGCCTTTTCCCGAGCGCAGTTTATCGCCCGCTGAAGCAGCGCTGCGAAACGCACGTGCGTGTAACCGCATCGACGTCTATCGGGTGTGTACAACGGTGAAAGGGATCGCTTAGGGACAGCTGAGCCAAGTCGGGCGAAGAGGGTATACGCGCTCGCCAACTGTAATATCGTCGGCAAATAGATGCACATCGAGATGAAACATTCGAATCCCGTGGATGAATCGTGAGATAAGTATCACGTGGCGCATCGGATATTCGAGATAAGAGCGGCGTGAGCTATTAATTGAAACGCTATTAAAGGACTGTGCGGTGTGCGCTGCGGGACAATGCGGGACAATGCGATGACAAAAGGGAGTGTAGCGTATTAGAATCTCGATTAAATATATATTGCACTTTCTGAAAGGAAATAAATAAAAATATATTGTATAAATATAAAATTTTATCATTTAACTTAGGGACACGCTGCAACGTTAAAATATTTATAATTATATCATTGAGTTATATGTCCTGTCAATTTAACATAAAATCAATCAAATCATTAGTAATTTGCCGCTTGTCACCAACTTGTTAATAACTTCGTGAAAGCTTATTTAACGTTTTTTCTAACAGATTTCTTATGCGTGTAGGCACGTTCTTGAGAAAAGCAATTATTTATTAAGGCGCATAAGTGGACGGAAGATAGAAATATCCGATAAAAGTCTCAAGAGTCCTCCTGAGAGTGTTCGCATCTCCTGCACCGCGCTCGTGTTCACTTTATCTGCGTATAAACAAATCGATGGCGGAGCGGAGAGATTCGTTTGACTAAATAAACTGCGGTCTGATGAAAAATAATGTTAAAAACCACGATGAAGTGAGACCTTTTCGTTATGTTAGTGAAACAGTCGTTTCATTCATCGAACCATTGTACAAATATTTGTCTTTCTACAACAATTACCATCGTTATTTTGAATATTTATTTGGTCTTCCCTCGCGAGAATTACATCGGAAACACAAAAATATACTTTTCATTAATGCTATCAGCAACATCCTCAATCCACGCGTGACCGCGGTAATTATAGAAGGATAATTATAGATGCCCCACAGCTCCAACCTTAATTTCAATATATTTCAAGAATTTTAACGTTTCTTTTCATTTTAAACGTCGCAAAATCGCTGGTCCGTTATAATATCGTAGATTAAAATAAATCAAATTATTCATTAAACGCGCTATTTTAGTGGCACTATTTTCGTTTCATTATTATTTACGTGGCATCGCAAAAGTTTTTCCGATTAAAATAAACTAACAAGTTGTCGAGTATATGCGAAATTTTGCGTACTAACGATATATTGCGTGCCAATGATTATTAAATTTGCAACACTTTTCCGGGTAATTACTTACAGGCCGTTTGCGCGCGAAGCAGCCCGGTCGGCGAAAAGTCCCGGCGCTACGCGGTGCGCATTTGCGCGGGTGCGTTCGCTGGTCGGGCGAAAAGAGAAGAGGAGGGTTGCCCGATACGTGCGGTGCGGTATCCAGCGAGGGAGAGCCAAACGGCGACGACGAGAATCCCGAAATAGAAAACCCGCGAATCGGAGTGCCAAGGCTAGAAAATTACGCGCGTCGTAAAACGCCTCGTGCGGCCCTGCCTTGTTTCGCGGCGACGAAATTTGAACGGAAGCGATGGAAAGCGTGCATTTTATTTATAGGAAGTTTACGCTGGCGGAAACGAGCGCGCAACGAAATGCCCACACGTTAGCGCGAGCGCACCCGAAAATCCTCGTTCCTCGCGAGCGAGCTGCTTGGCGAAATTTGCGACGTAAACGCGCCCAGCAAATTCGCCTAATGAGCCTAAGCTCTGGTGACTAATAGCGGCAGCAATAATAGCGACGGAAAATAATAGTGGCATAATAAGTCATCGTATTCCGCGAAATGTGCGTTTGCTAAGTTGGGGCACACATTTAGGATGTATACTTGGAAAATAAAGCGCGATTTGTTAAACGAAAGTTAAGGTTTCGCTTGCTGTTAATGAAAATAAAGTAAACAGTTCTACAAAGGATGTGGAATATTTTTCAAGCCGCAGAAGCGAAACACATATAACAAACAGGAACTCGTGGTAGATCAAAAGATATTATAATATATTCGCGCTTGCATAAACAGGTGAATCATATGATTCAGTCTTGGTGAATGATATATGACTTTTGGATTGCAATATAGAAAAGATAGTTACAAAAATATCTATATTAAAAGTGTCTATCAAAAATAGATACAGGAATCGGTAGCGAAATTCGTCCAAGAATCTTGTTTACGAGTGTTTTTCGAGTAAACAGTAAATCTAATCGTCGACAGAAAATGTAAAATACTTTCAACAGAATTTATAAATACTCCGCAACTGTGGAATGTGCGCCCGATTGAAAGCCAGTTCTCCACCTATCCGAGAATTTTATTTTCAACGGTCGCACCCGGAGAGCAAACATCCAGGCCTGATCCTGACGGCCGAGGATCTTAGAATACCTTCTTGTCGCAGAAGCAAAACAGAAAACGTGCGCGCGAGCGCCGATGGGGACGCGTGACAGGCAGGAAATTGTGGTGCGCGTGAAAACTGCCCCGGGGACGCAATGGCGCCGTTGGACAAACAAGCAGAATTCGATGCATCCGTTGCAGGCTGCGACGGCTTCGAAGCGCGCCCGTTCTTTTCATAAACGCATTCCTGACCCTCGCCCGCTCCCGGAACCCAGTCGGGGTTCGTCGCTCCACCCTCGGCCAGCGAGATTGCTGTTAGAGCTGGGTCGCCGGCCCCTCCGGCCGGTCGGCATCGCGTAATCGTCTGTACGATGATACACCAGAAACCCACCCCTGCGCGTTTACTCCAGCGCACGGCTGCTTTTCCGAGACGGAAAGATCGAACGGAGACGCGCGGTGGAGCGAAACGCAGCGGCGTGCGTGCGCCCGTACGCGTGAACGCACACGCGGTATTCGATATAGTATTATATATCTTCCGAGCGGGGATTGAAACACTGGTATAGTTTCGGTCCGGTACAATTTGCAATACTGCTGATATGCATGCATGGAAGCTGTAAATCTGTGCGTTGCGCCGACTGTCTAGCATTGCTATTGTTGCGAACGAATATAGGGGATCATTTCGGCTGTCTAAAACATGTGGAAGCTCAAAGCCTGCGAAATTATGGAGCATACAATAGTTGAACTAGAATAATTCAATGCAACTTTATATATATCTCCAGTTTCTACAAAACGATATTTTAAATAATATCGTAATTTGCAATTTTATTATATACGTTGTGTAAGTATTTAAAAAAAAAAAGAAAATGTGTGATAAAATATTCTTTTTAAAAACCGATAATCTTATTTGTATTTGCTGAGAAAAATAATCAAATGCAACTTATGAAATTTTGATTAAAAAATAATTAAATGCAACTTATAAAATTTTGATTAAAAAATAATCAAATGCAACTTATAAAATTTTGATTGAAATTTACTTTATACGGCAGAATTGTAGATAAGATAGAACAGGGCATCTTTTATTTACACAGAATATATTGAAATAGATAAATGTCAAAGGGTTGCATGGCAATGCAATTATAGAATTCCGTTGCAAATTATCCGATAAGCGTCTAAGAGAGAAAATTAAATGTTCCAGTTAAACTCATTTTATTAAAAAGTGTCAGTAAAACAACATTTAGCGCCTTCGCATAACATAAATGAGTGCTTCACTTTACGTTCCTGCTTTGCAGAAGGTATTACTCATTGCAACATTTGCATGCATTACTTAGACTCTCGTTTAGCATTTTACTCCCGCGTCCACACAAATGCGCCCGCACAACGCGCCGCGTATGTATGCGAGTGCATCCACTTGTATGCGCTCCACGATCATATGGTCGCGCCGAAGTCGCGCGTGTGCGTTTCAACGTGCGTGCCTGAACGGCGGTGTGAGTGCGTGAGTGGTGTGCGGAGTGCGTGAGTGGTGTGCGGAGTGCGTGTGCCGGTCGAGAAGGGCGAGGGTGTCCCGGGTAGGGGAAACTAAACGCGTGTCTTCGGTTTTGGTTTTAGTTTCGTGGCAGTCGCTGCCGACGCTGACGACGACGACTACACGATCACGACGACGACCACGACGTCGACGACGGCGAGGCCGATTTTCCGAGCGTTGCCGATCTCGCCGACGCGATAATACGGACGCGTTTTGTCACGCCGGCATCATTTCCCGATCGAATCAACGTCGCGTACGTGTGAACGAGTGTGATTCGCTCTGTGGCTCGCGGATGCAATTGCGGATGCGACTGAAAATTGACTAAATCCGAAAGTGTCATCGATCGCACCCCCTGTGTGAGAGTTACGCTGAGGGATTAAGATTCATTTGCTTCGGAGCACACCGCGTGTGCGCTCCCGTCCTTCCAGTTCAGAACATTTGAATTAAATTTATGTGACTCCGTGATGTAAAATTTACAACTTTCACTATCCGAAGTTTTCTACTACGTTTCCCTTAAACGCCAGTTCGCAAATATTATCACAAGTTTTGCGCGAGTGTATTTCTGAAACTTTCAGATTTAATAAATTTTATTTTTCAATTTTAAATAACTTTTTTTTCTTACGAAACTCGAGTATTGATTATTG